TCATCCAATTTACATAGTGATAATGTTCTTCATCATCCAATTTAAAGCCATCTAACAGCATGTTCAAAACTCTGAATCCCAGCAACATAGTTTCACCATCATCCCGGTTAACAATAAATTAAAAAAAACAAGCATTTCTCTTCTTTTCTGTAAATTAGATAGCATGGTTCTTGAGTAAACTAGTCTAAGTTGGCTATAATTGAATCTTTCAGAATATTAGTTAGTCAGGATGGGATTGAACAAGGTTATTAAAGAGAATACCATAAAAATGACAAAACTAAGAGCTTGCTTGTTTTAGATTTTTTGAGAATAGATTTTGTGAAAAGTGATTCAGAGCAAAACTAATGTTGGGGAAAAAACCCAAATATGTGTTTTCTGCTCATCATTGTTCCACTTTTTTCAAATAGTGTACAGAGGATGGGAGAATAAACCAATTTTTCGGAGTGGAATCTATAAAATTAGGTCAAATTTGAACTCTAATTTACAGATATCAACAGCCATATGATGGCAAAAAACTCAGCTGCCAAATTGTTCCCAGCTGCTACATTTCTAATTTCCAACGGTTATCTCCAAAAAATGTGAAAAAAAAAAATCAGAAATATGGATAATAAAAATCCTATAAATACCCATATTCTTCACTCCAATTCTTCACACAAAAATTTTCACTCTCTCCTCACACATAAATTTTTCATTTGCTTCTCCAATTTCTTTTCCTGTACATTCCATTTCTCATTCACTAGAAAACAAAAATGGGGGAGAATTCCAACTCTAGATCACCTTCTTTTTCCACGAGGATATGAGCAATCATCTTGTTGAAAGGATCTTCAGTCTAGTCGAATGATGAGATTGAAAATTTGGTGAAACGAGAGTTCTTTCAAAAATAAGGTGATTGACTATACAAGTAAGAGGATGAGATGTGAAGAAGGATAAGATGTGAAAGATAATAAAAATATATGATATATGAGATGTACATAAAATAGAAGATCAAAATAGTAGAAGTATTGTTCGAAAATAATTAGTTGCAGAAACTTGCAGAATAGTAAAGTGCAGAAATAAAATTTATTGACTAATCGATTCTCGTGACAACATGATGTTTTAAAGTGAAATTGCCGGTTGATAACTGTTGCGACCTCTGTAGACAATCACTCCCAAAATACAACAACCACAAACCACTTGTACAGCAATCACGTATTGTTTCTCAGAACTCCTAAGTATACTCTAGAAAAATATTTAAAACTTGAGTGTAAAAATTTGAAAATATTAAAAGTTGTAATTTCGTTTTTTTGATGTATTTTTTTCAAAACCAAATGGGTGTATATATAAGCAGAATGGATCTAACCGCCTCCATTGTGATTCAAAAATGTTTGCAGCATTTACTAGTTAGTGGATAATGAATTGTTAAAAAACGGTCATATTATACTGACTAGTTTGACCTATTACATAATTTCTAAAATGATCAAAATAAAATAAAAAATAATTATTTCAATCCTTATATTGAAGAATCTCTACAAAATAGACCCATCCCGCGTCAATATCGCACTCTAAACAACCCTACGGAGTAGAGAAATAGGATTGATGAGATTACGCTGACATCATTTCATCCAAAATTATGGACATTTTTCTCTCCTATAATATAAAGAGAACCTTCTCAAATAAATTCGTTTATCAGCAAAATTTTATTCCAACCCTTAACAAAGGGCCCTTGTATTTTTTATTTCCTTCAACTTAAACTATAAGAATTTTGCTACAATTGCTAATCATAATAATCTACTTGTATCTCACATCACTCGTAAAAGACTTGCTTTTGTGAGTTTATAAGTACATTTACAATTAAGGTCGTGTCTGCATAATAATATCACATGTTCATGATTGTGACTGATCAACCATAGCATCACACAGAATACAATTTGATCGAGTCTGGCTCCTCCAACTTCAGTCTTTGCACAAAAAAACCCATATTTACAATGTAAAGTATTATTATGCAAGTGTAGAATCATTAAGGTAATTGACTGTTCCATCCATGAATCCAATGGCATTGTGATCCAACTAAAAATGAATAGGGAGAAAAAGGGAAATAAGACGTACCATTAAAAAGAATAAAAAGAGGGAGAAAAAAAAAAATCCAAATCCATATTTCACTGGTCCATGGGATGACAGATATGTATAAATGGATACATTTAAGTCATATAGCACAAGTATAGTATATCCATACACTGGAGCTAAGTAGTGCCGATTCTGTGCTTTTGGGGGGCCTGAGGCGAACTTAAAAAATTAGGCCCCCCTTCCCCACCAAAAAAAGAAAAAAATTATGCATGCAAAATAAATGCGTATTATGATACCAACTGTTAACTTAATACTCAGCTGTAAAACAAAAAAAATAAAAAAAATAAAAAATAAATAAAAAAAATTGTCTACTACTCCGAAATGCATTCTATACCAAAAACGGGGCTCAAAGAATTGATCATACGATTAAATCTAACAAAAGTCAATATAATTCAACAAGAGTGCAATACTATAATGCAATATATAAGGCGACAAAACTTCGAACATTTCCTATATGTTTAATAGTTTATAAATAAGCAAGGGCAAGCCATTGCTTACCTGAAAAATATGAATTGAGCAAAAATTATGAAATGATACAATGCGGCACTTTGAGAATTTCACCGTCACAACTCACAATCTTGAAATCAAAATTTAACAGCAACTACGACAACCAATTAATTGTTGAAGATAAATTTAAATTGTATATGAAATATAAATTTAATAGCAACCATTAAGTAAATCCTTAAAACGTCTTTGCATTTCTCTCCCACTCCATTCCTCTCTACATTTGCATGAAGTAGAATATAATTTTCGACCACAAGAAGGATCTTGGCTAAATCCATTCTTGAAGTAGACAGACGTGAATACATGGGAGCTCAAAATCTTTCGATCTCAATACATCATTCTAGAAAGATTCACACAGCTAAGGTTCTACATTTCTAGTACCAATCCATGCAGTGATATCTCATTAAGAGACATAAAAATCAATTCTATTAACAACATAACAAAGGCTAAATCATATTGCAAAAACATTGGAGAAGGACAATAGGACACTTTCCAAATGATTGCTTAAAATTAACCTTTTTCTGTTCTGTGTATACTTTAGTTTGTGCCATGGTTTCAATTTGGCACATGTAAAATATGTCTAACGCCTTCAAATTGCACCACTACAATATCTAAAAATCCTAAAATTCTTACAGTTGACATGTGCATCAGTAAACCTCAAAGTAATCTTAAATCAAATGAGTTTAGTTTGTCTCAAATTAATCTTACAATTGAGGAGTCAGCATTTTTTTTTTGTCTTCTACTAATTTTAATCTCAAAGTAAATAATTGTTCTTAATATATAATAGATCAATGTTCAAGTTTTATCTTGATTCTCCAACGACAATTTATCAAAACCCTCTCTTTGCTTTGATTTGACAAACAAAAGTTTAAAACTTAACCAACTTTTTTGATACAAAATTCTAAGAACTTGATAAAAGTTAAAAGTCAAT